AAGTGTCCCTTTCCTCATGGGGAGAAAAGCAACTTGACAACTCCTAAAAAACGTTTTATTTGAAATAACATTCGCCCCACAGTCAATTCTAAAATAAATTCCAACCCTTTCACATAAACCTACTTAGATTTGAATACATCAATACTTACATCGGACCTTTGATTTAACGGTAATTGAATCCAAATTAAATTAACATAATGCAACCCAAGCTAACATAGCCTCAATGCTAACGTTAGCTAACACAGCTTGTTGATTCAATTGCTGAGAAATTCATTTGGGTGTCTTTGAAAAATTAAATAACTATCGCTGGTAACGTGGTTCGACAGAAAAATAACGATATTATGTTGTTAATCAAGAGAGTAACGTTAAGCTACCTAAAGGTAGCTGGACACGTTAGCATGCATGCTACGTGCATGCTAACAACAAGTCACGTTTTCGACAAAAAAAACAATATAATACAATGTAAATTCAACACAAAATGACTGAATATGACTAAAATGACTAATTTTGATAACATCGAAATTACCTTGTTCGGTGAGCCACGGGGGCAGGATGGACTACGGTGTCTGCTGCGGTGTTTGTAGACGAGGTGAAGCAGCAGGTGGTGCTCGGTCTACTTCGGTGCTTCGGTCAGAGTCCGTGGAAAATCGTCTCCTCAAATGTTATCTTTTTGTTATTCCTCCATCCTGTATAAAATCACCAATCTATGCTATCTAAAGCAGGGGTTCTTAACCTTTTTGACCTCGGGGCCCAACTTTTCAAGCACAAAGTGTCCCGGGGCCCATTCAAATATTAACACTATTAGTTTAACTAATTGATCTCACTCTTGGTTTGATTTGTATTCAATAACTATAGTGTTACCTGTTCAACTCCACCTCTATTTTGGAGCAAAACCGCCTAAAATGACATACCCAAATTAAAATGGCTGTAGCTTCTGAACCACTGTGACTATATGCATCAAAAGTGTCAGAAAACCTGTAGGTCATATAGAAACAGAGCAGTGGGCCTTTGGAGTCAGTAAAAATTGAAGATTTTTGTCCGCATAAAATAAAAAAGTATCTTTCAGTATAAATAACTGCCTGTGGCTGTACAGGTAAATGACAGTATAGGTCCATAACTACACTATCAGTGAACAACTACACTTACTGTGCGTAATGGCTGCGACTGAGCACACGATCAAGTATGAGGGTAGCTCAGATACGCAAGGTTATACGTTGGTTGACGACTTATAGAAGAAGAAGATAAGGTTTGTAATTTAAGTACTAGCGTTTTCTGAAGCTACTAGCTCCATGGTAACATCCGCTAGCACATTGGTGGGTCTGTAATGTGTCTTTTTCCATCGAAATGCTGCAAGATCGGACTTGCAGCGGTTATGCCGTCTTTGGACAGTGTGTGTTTGGGCTCCTTTCGTGAAAAATCCATAGGAAATGAAAGGAAATCGATGATTTCTTGGCAAAGATGAGGGTTTTGGGCATGCTGGGATACCAAACACGGCCATGTTTTGTGACGTAGTTTGCGCAAGCAAGCCGTGGGAACGGAACGGAAGGGGAGGGGATCGAGGACGCCGGCGTCCTCGCGGAGTTGAACAGGCAAAACCCTTGTCAAATAAATGAGATGATACAATGTGATGATCACAAAGACATTTATTTATCATGTGTATGTAAGCCTGCATACACAACAAGAAGCCCAACAGGCTTTCCCACGAGCGTTGGATGTTTCGTCGCTAGGTGTCGCTTTATTTTTGAAGGCTTCAGTGCTTCGTTTGATAGCATTAGCCCACATTCCACACACTGAAAGTGTTAAGAAAGTCAGGATTGTACTTGCGCACACATTTAGACTTTTTTGGGGGGGGTATGGCACCACTGTCGTCTTCATTTTTTCTACCACTACAGTGTAGTGGTTAAATCGTGTAATATTTATGATTCATTAAATGATGTAACACTGCTGCCCTCTAGTGGTTAAATCGTGTAATGTTTATAATTCATTAAATGATTTAACACTGCTGCCCTCTAGTGGTTAAATCGTGTAATGTTTATGATTCATTAAATGATTTAACACTGCTGCCCTCTAGTGGTTAAATCATATAATGTTTATGATTCATTAAATGATGTAACACTGATGTAACACTGCTCTGGTCTGTCTTTGTTCATCCTGCATCGCTCTGTTCTGTTCTTTAATGTAACGTTACTGGAGCGACCCAGCTGTTAGCAGACTGTTGTGCTAGCAAGCAGCATGCCAGTACCCAGCATGCAGTTCGGCGGTGAAATTTTATAAATGTACAATTATTGGTGTTACAAATTGTTTATGTGTCACAGACTGTTGTGTGCTGTTCTGTTTTTCTCTGTTAAAGAGCATTAGTTGTGGGTTGTTAATTGTTGTGTTATAAAGTTATGACCATGACTAGGGTTCCCTCTCAATACATACAAGACAACTAGCGCTGACCGCTGTGCAAAGAATACATTTAGCTGCCTGTTGAAAGCAGACAGCAATTAACCGGTATACTGCCCAGCTCTAGTCTTTATTATAGTTTCGACAATTGTGTACCAATATTTGACGGGCCGGATTAAAAAGCCCAACGACCGTAGTTTGCTCATGCCTGGGCTAGCGGCTAGCTGAGTGTCTTCTTCTGCTTATTGTGGCTTGACTGACAACTGACTGACGCATTACCCCCACCAGGTGGTGGGAAGCTATATTGTAACTGAGCGTCTCATGGAGAACAGTAATATTGATAACCTATGCGGTCCCGCGGCCCTCGCGGCCCACAGGTGCAAAACTGAAAGTTTTTTGCGGCCCTCTAGGTGGCGTTCGCGGCCCCATCGTGGGCCACGGCCCCATCGTTAAGAATCACTGATCTAAAGCTTTCTGTTCACTTTCTTTAGGTTGACTATGTGCTAACTAAGCAGTAGAGACTTGATGCAATGTGCTTTTGAAGAGTAATGGGCGGGTTTAGAGTCAACTGAAAAAGGAAAAAATACTGTAGTATACTGCAAGATTGGACAGTAGCTGCTGGTAATATTTTTTTTCTTCCAAGGCCTCAACTTCTGCTGGATTTAACTGTATCCAACTGTATTTACGAAGAACAGTACATTACTGTTCAGAATTTCTTGTATTTTTACAGCAATTTGTTACAGTGTAGGTAGTACATGAGGGGTTAATCATTGCACGGTGGAAAGACACTTACCGCGCTCCACACTGTGACATACCACTGGACACCGCATGGCTTCAGTCTGCACGGCTGAGCTGTGATTGGCTGAGAGAGACTGGAGCATTTCCCCCGCTCTGCAACCTCCACATGACCGTCGCTATTGAAAATGCAAACCACACTCCGGGTCTGTGTGCTGTTCCCGCACTCTGCCGAACACTTAACACACACACACACACACACACACACACACACACACACACGTGAACTTCAAATGGATGTCTTGGTGTTTGTGTATGTGTGTCAATGTGTGTGTGTCAATGTGTGCGTGTCAATTTACCTGACCCCAGGGTCCGGTGTACCACTCCAGGTGGTTCTGGCAGGGACCTGACTCGCACGATGTGGCCTCTGGTGGGCGTTCCCCTTCGCAGCTGTCAAATGGGAGATCAGTCACGTGATCCATCAGGCACAGTGCCGTCCGGGTTCGATTGCCCCGACCACACTCCGCAGAGCACTGAAGAATATCGCACACACATATACGCTCTAAATCAGGGCCACTTCATATGTGATTTCACTTCCTCCCCCTCACACACACACACACACACACACACACACACACACACACACACACAC